ACATTCGGTGAAGTGATCGACTCATAGACCAGGTGTGAATGAACTGTCTGTTACTGGGTGTGACCGTCGGGAAGGATGCCCTATACAATGTAGGGAACTAACAATTGGAGAATAGCGGACTAACTTTCTCAAGCTTCGCCTGTGACAACCATAACCTTAGACGAAATCCCACCTAATCTTTGAGAATATATTATTCTATATATTCCATATTCCTAAAATCCAATCCCTGCCACTCTTGCAGCCACTGTGCCTGCATCCCTGCGCCCAAGTGGAGCTCCCAGTGCCCCCAAAAACAAAGCCGAAAAGCCGTTGAAAGCAAAAGTTAGTAAGTAAAAGCTATAATAATAGCAATAAAAACAAACCAAAATAAAAGTGGGGGAAAAAAAAGCAAAGCCAAAGGCAAAGGCAAAAGCAAAAACAAAGATAAACAAAAGTAGACGCAGTGGCAGTGGCAGTCGCAGTCGCAGGCGCAGCAGCAGCGCAGTCTGGCATGACCTTCACCCAATAAAGCGACCGACCGCGGTCAGAGTGTACAAAAACAAATGCTGCCGGTTTGACTCTTCTTTTTGTGTGTATGTGTATGTGTGTGTGTGTGTGTGTGTGTGTGTGTGTGTTTTTTTTGCAGTTAAACAATTGTGCACGCCAATTTTGCTGTCTCTGTCCGTCTGTCCGCCCATCCGCCTGTCCCTGATTATGTCTGTTCATGCGACTGCCTATGTGTGTGTGCGAGTGTGTGTGTTTGCCAGCTACTTATCTGTGTACCCTTTGCCGGGGGGAAGGGTATGCCCATTCTGATACCAACTGTGTCATTGATGGGAATACTTCAATTTAAACACTCAAAAAACAAACAACAAATTAAATCAAATTGAAACGAAATTATAAATTATTAAATTAAAAGTTAATTTAAAATGTTGTGTAGCATTTTTTAAATTAATAAATCGATACTAATGAATTAAATATCACTTTAGTTCAAATAATTTATGTATGTTTTTTTTTTTAAATTACACAAATAATGTATTTTATTCTTAGCAATATTTGAATGTTGTATCGATGGATAAATTCACTAAAAGTTAAAACATGGCTTAAAACATAAAAATTAAAATTTACCACGAATTTAACAGATTTTTACCAGATATGGAAGCCATATTTATACAATGGAATTGTCTGAAAACTTTTGGGTGGACAATAAACCATTAACTAAAAAATTAATTATTATATTCACAAAGCAGAGCATTAAACCCATCGGTCAGCTGGCCACCAGATTTCGCTTTCATCTTTTGTTTTCTTTTCGGTACAGAGAAAAAAATAAATTATAATAAAATAAAATCAACGAGACCGAAACAGAAACTGAAACTGAATGATTGTAGTAAAGTAATAATACATAGTACAAAAAAAAAAACAAAAACAAAAAGCGCAGAAAAAAAATACAATTTTATTTTATTATTATTATTATTGTACTTTTGTTGTTTCTGCCGCTTTTACCGGCCGGCTTTTCTGTGTGTGTGTGTGTGTGTGTGTCTGTGTGTCGTCGCTGATTTTATTAAACTCGCAACAACAACAACGATTTTTATTGAATTAACTTAATTGGTGTGGCAGTGGGCGTGGCCAACACCCCGCTGAATCAAAAGAGTGATGCCCCGCTTGATTAGAAACGGCGACAAAAGCAATTTCCCGCCTTCCAGCCCCCACCCGCACCACCATCGACCCCATGAATCCCCCACAAAGTGAATCATTGCGAGTGAATCACTTGAATTATATTTCCCATCTCCCTCCGTATCTCTCTCTGTGTTTATCTTTTTTCGCACTGCAAAACTAAATGAGAACCAAATATATAATAAAGGAAAAGTATAAGCTTTCCAACCCATTATCTTTCTGGCTGCTAGACATATGTATGTAAGAGTCAACCGATTCTGATAAAACAAATCTTTTCATTTAGCGTGCTAATAAATTAAATTAAAATTAAATTCTCCAAGGCTTTTCCGAGAGCACACTATTTCTTTGATCAATGATCATCAGTGGGACATCATCATGATAAGGGTCTGCATTGCAAAAAATAATTAAAATAAAAAAATTAAAATAAAAACAAATTAAAAATTTAGGTTTTTTCTTGGTATGTTGAAATATTTTTATTGTATAATGCGATAATCATAAATTTTGAAGAAAAAAAAAATTATTAAAACGTTTGATTTCTCTATATATATAATTGTGTGTTTGTGTGTGTTGTGTGTATATATAAGTTTCTGTGTGTGTGTGTGTGTGTGTGTTATGTTTATGTATAGATCGTACATGTAAGAGGTACATAAAATGTAATTTATTGTTTTTGCTTTTCTCATTTTCTTCGCATTCAATGGGTTTTTTCATTAATAGGTAACTACATAACGAGTTAAAAATATTAGATAATATATTTATATATAATTTTAGCGGATTCTGTTTGCCAGTTCTGTATATTTAATAAGCTATAACCAAAGTGAACAAAAATTTTGCGGTCAATTTCAACCAAATATTTTTTTAAAAATAATTTCCAAAAAAAGCCAAAAAAAATATAACGTTAAATTTTATACATTTATGTGTAATATTTCTTTCATTCTCATCTGTAGGTTGGTTTCTTCGCCTATTCAAACATTTTCTTTCAGTTGTTTAACATTTTTCTTTTTTTTTTTTTTGCTTTGTTGCAAAGAATTTTTTCCCTTTTTTACATTTGTTTAATTGTTTTTTTTTAATTTTTTTTATTTTGTTTAATAATAGTGTTTAAAAACTAAATCAAATAGTAGTTTGTGTGTTTGTATACTTATAAAAAAATTCCATAATCATAAAAAAATATATATATATATATATATAAACATAAATGTTTCAATTTTTAAAGTATTGTATAAGCAAAAAAAATGTCTCATCTTTTTTTGTTTTATTTGCGAGGATTTTGGTTTTGGTCATAGTTTTTCATGTTTTACTTTTGTATCGTTTTTCGTTTAAATCGAAATTCAAGAATTAATTTTTAGAAATGCTTCACTTTTGTCTGTAGCCGTTTGATATTTTGTTTTGTTTTGTTTTGTTTTTTTTTTTATTGGTTGCTTTCTGAATTGCAAGAAACAAAGAAAGTGGTTTCCTTTTTGTCATTACATTTCTGTTTTTTCTGTTTATTGTTTATTGTTTGATAAATTTGTACGGTTTTTCTTTCTGTTTCTCTCCGTTTCGACCGAAATCATAGAAATGGAAAGAAAACAGGATTTGTTTAAACTATTTCTGCTTCTATGTACTATAGGAAATTAGGTGCATTCGTGTGTGTATTTTTGTGTGTGGTATATATATATACATATAGTATAGGTATATGTATCTATATGCATGTGTAGGTGTAGTTGTAGTTGTAGTTGTAGTTGTATTTTTTGTTGTTGGTTTATTGAAGTTGGTTTTGCTTTGTCTACGTTTTCTTTTTCGCGTTGTACAATTTCGCTTAAGTCTATTGCTTTGTGTTTTCTCTCCGGCTCTTACAAAAATATTTCCCTCTGTTTCTACTTTGCATATTTTCGGTTTCTTTTCGTTTTTTTTTCAGTGTATTTTTGTGTATGTGTGTTTGTGTGTGTGTGTGTGTGTGTGTGTAACTATTATTTAACGAGATTTCTATTTACAGTGTGTACACATTTGTGAAAACAATACCAAAAAAAAAAATAATAATAATAATAATAACTATATACCATGTTCAATCGCTTGTTTCTGTTGCTTGTGGTATTATTTTTCTCGATTAACAGTGCTTTTTGTAGTTTAGTTTAATTATTATAATAGAAAATAGCTTTAAATCTTTAAGTAATTTTTAGTAATTTTTCCAAAACAAAAAAAAGTATTAAAAAAAATGTGCGGCGGCGTAAAACAATCGAAGAAAATATGTAATGATGTCTCCATAAAAAAAAAAAAAATATTATGCTTAGGAAATATATCAATCTTCCAGGCATATGGGTTGGTTATCTGTGTAGTGCAGGTCTACGTCTAAATTTCGTTGAAACTTCACTCTAAATTATAGACATTTTTGCTTGCCTTCGTCGCGTTCCGTCCTCCCTCCCTCCCTCTCTGTCTCTCACGCCCTCGTCTATATGGTATATATAGATCTGGGCATCATTTATAAATCTTTTTTTTTTTTTGTGTCTAAACCTAAATAACAGTTTACATTTCCTTTGAATTGTAGTTTATAGTTTCGCTTACGTTTCTTTTTTAACTTTTTTCTTTTAACTTCATTTACTTTTTCTTTCGTTTAGTAGTATATATATAGATATTTGTATATAGTGGTTATATAGTTGATATATATATATGGTTGTATATATATGCGTGTAAACAATTGGTTTAATCGTTAATCATATATAACATATTACCCGGCTATAACTTATTAGCAAAAATCGACAGTTAAACAGCTCACAAAAGTTTGAGTTCTCTTGGGTTAGGTCTAGGTCTAGGTTTTGGGTTGGGGTTGGGGTGTTATCTGGGGGTGGGGGGGGTGCTATCTCCAACAACAAACTTTGCAGCCAGCTTCTACTCTCCTCTCCGCTCCGGTCCGCTCCTCTCTTCCCTTTTCTTTCTCTAGGGTGTGGTAGCACTATTAAATAGTTTTCCATCAAGTTCTCTTAATTCTCCTCTTTAGTTTTTTTGTGTGTTTTCTTCTTTCTTTCGTTAAGTTTCGCGCATTTCATATGCATAGTTATCGGGTTAAAAAAGAATATTCTACATATAGCAAAAAAAAATATAATAATAATTATAAATACAACAACAAAATCAAAGTTCCGTATATGTATGTATAATAGTTGTAAAAGTTTTCCGGTTGTATATATATATATATATATATATGTATATGCATATGTGTATGCGAATCTTCATAGCAAATAAAATGTATTTTCTTTCTATAGGCAGTAGCGTTCAAGTATTTCTTGGGTGTATAAAAAGCGTTTCCTCCGATCTGGTTCTGGTTCTGGGTAGGTGTTTTGTTTGTAAGCAAAAGCATTCAAGTGTTTCCGTATAGGTAGTTGTGTTCTTCTCTTCTCAAGGGATGCGTCTTCTTTATATCGTATAAATATAGATACATATGCATATGCGTGTGCAGAGGCATAGGATAGATCCCTAAACCGTGTACCGTATAGTCTGGTATAGTAACTCTGTCGACTATCGACTATCGAACAAGAAATTTGAATCAAGTTTCCCCTTGTATATGTGTCTGTGTGTGTATAGCGAGGATATGGGCTGGGATTATCTTTTCTGAGGAAAGCAAATTTCTACTTTCAGCTATATCCCCCATATCCTGCCGCTCGTACCTTCCTCTTCCTCGTCCTCGTCCTCGTCCTCTTTCCACTCCTCCTTTTCTTCACGCACTCTTCTTGGTCTCCTCCTTCTCTTTTTCTTTGTGGCTCTTTCGTTGTAACTTTTGTCTGTTTTCCGTTCTCCCGTTTTGTTTCCCTTTCCCGTTTCGTTTTCGTTTCCTTTTCTTTTCATTTCGTTATGTTTTCATTGATTGGTTCATTGTCCTGGTTCTCTACCGGTACCGGTACCAGTTCCGTTTCCGGTTCTGTTTACTTCATGTAAAGTTAAGTAGCTAATTCAAAAAAATTATAATAATAATAATAATAAGTGTAATAACCTAACCTATAGAGTACAGGCTCCTAACCCTGGGCTATAATCCTAATCCTAGCCTATAGCCTATAGCCTATATTTATGTGTACCTATATGAAACTTCAACTTGATTCAATAAAACAGTTTTCGTTAATTTTCCTCCCCCTCCTCCTCCTTTATCTGACCTGACCTCTTCCTTGATTCAATCTCCTCAAGACACCAAAAAAAATCTAATTGGGTTCAGAAAATTATATATATCACATTAAATAAATCAAACTTGATAAATCACTCCGATGTCGGGTCTGAAAGTGAAAAAACAAGGCCCCAAATATATACAATGGCCACTAGTCCTACTATAGTCCTTAGATCGTATCCTACCAACTGATATTGAAGTTTCAAAAAATGCTTAAGGTCAAGAGCAAAAAAAAAAAAATAAGAAGATATATAGGTATAGTATGTATAGTAAACCGTATCGAACGTATAAAGACCTTACGCTAGTATATCATAGATCATATTCGTTATATCGTTCGGTCTGATGCCCTACAAATACGCCGCCGCATCATCCCCCATCTACTTGCTCGCAAACAAGACTCGTTACTGGGTCTATTTGGGTCTCTGACCAACCCACTTACGGCTCTCGTCAGTCACTGTATGGACTGTGGAGGCGGCGCGCAGGCGCACCAGCAGCTCCTGGCGCTTGCGGTTCTTCTCCCTGAGCCTCTGGTACTCCATGGCCAGGTCGTGCTCCTCGTGGGTCAGCTGTTCGCACAGCTTGGCCGCCTCACGCAGTATGTTCACCTTGGGGGCGCGCTCCTTGTCCCGAATGGTGGGTATCTGCTTCTTGAGGGCCTCGAACAGGTTCTTCAGGCCAATTCGTCGCTGGCGCTCCATGTCGTTGTGCTGGTTGCGCTTCTCGATGGTGTCGGCCTCGTCCACGCTGAACCGCTGACTGCTGCGTGCGAGTGGGGCCATGTTAGCGACAGAATTATGCTTGGGTATCCTGTTCATGGTGCTGTTCGTCTCGTTCATCCAGTTGTTGGAGGCATCCGCCTCGGTGCTGCTCACCGGCGATCCCAGCTCTGAGGAGGAGCACGACGATGGGCTGGACTTTTTGCTTCGGCACTTTTTGCTGATGATTCGACTACTGCTGTTGCTGTTGCTGTTGTTGCTGTTGCTGTTGTTGCTGCTGCTGCTATTGCTGGCCATCTTATGCACGGACATTCCATTGCTGCCCGCGCTGCTGCCGGCGGTTGCGGTACCGTTGCCGCTGAACTTGAGGTAGTAGCGCTTGTGTCCCTTGGTGGCGCCGCCGCAGCCGTAGCCGGAGCTGCTGCTGCTGCTACTGCTGCTGCTGGCATTCGACGAGTCGACGGTCAGGGGCGAGTACGATTGCGAGGAGGCCTGGTAGGGCGTGCTCGAGGGCGATGGGTAGCGGGAATTGGCCACCGACTTGACCGGACTACTGCTCGCCGGAGTATACGGCATAATGTAGTGACCGTAGCGCGGTTTCTTTTGGTTAATGCCATGCGAGATTTGGTGGGCCACCTTTTCCAGCAGGGCCAGTTCACCGACGGGGTCTTGCAGTTGTTTCTTGTCTGGGAATGAGACCACATCGATTTCCTCATCTGCAATAGATAGATGGCGAAAGAGAGAAAGAGATTGTTAGAGATATCCATAGAGATCATGATTATCTACGCATTCAGATATATATATATGTATATATATGCTTGATTTTCATTACCCAAAGCCCTGCAAATGTTTTTCTTCTTCAAGTTGAATGACCCCTAAGGGGGGAGGCGACGGGGAGGGGCGTACGTGGGGACATACGTAGTTATGGCTTAGTGGGGGTGGGGGGGACGGGTCTAAAGCGGATTAGTGTGTCAGGGAGGTAGAATATCGAAATTCAGGAAGCAATAGATTTGCACGGATTTCAAGTGGCGACGCCCTTCTTTCTCTCCACGCTGACGTCATAGCTGTAGCTGATATTTCTCCGTCCGCCTTCTTACGGTTATTTGTCTCTGCTTCTGCTTCTGCTAGTTGTTCTTCTTTTCCCTTTTCTGCTTGACATAGCGCGATTCCATTCCGCCCAGCAACAAACAGAGCCATTAAAAGAGGAGTGGGCGGTCGGTAGGTCGGTCGGTCGGTCGGTCGGTCGGTCGGGCATAGTCGTTTCTCCGACTCTTACTCTCGCTCCTTCTCGCTCTTCCGTTTTGCTAATTTACCGTTTCCGTTGCTATTACACACACACACACACACACACACTTTGTACATTGAACCTACGCCAAAACGATGCAGCAGACTGTCGGTTGGTAGCCGAAGAAGCTGCAGCGGGGAACAACAGTGGGTGGACAGCGGCAAAATGCATTTTATTTAATTTTTGTTTCATTCGTTTTTTTTTTTTTTGTGTTTCTGGCAAGCTTTACTTCTTTCCCCATTTGTTTTAATCGATTTTTCCATTTGAAGTTCTTCTATTTGTTCGTTCAACAATTGTTAAGAGGCCTCGCAACTGTTTCAATGTTTGCCATCTTTTCACTTTTTTCTTTTTGTTGTTCAATAATACGAATAATAATAAAAAAAAAAAAAAAAAACAACTGTGTAAACACAGAAAAAAAAAAAAAAGGGTAACGAATTTTGGACCTGGCAACAGGGCGGCAAAAGATGCCATGGGCCGATGACAAGTTGCTGCAAGATCAAGTGCATTCGAGGCTTAAACCGCAACGAAATCAAAACCTGTACAGAGAGAGAGAGAAAGAGAGAGCGAGAGCGAGAGCGGGACCCGACGCGAAGAGCAGAGGGAGTTGGAGTTAGAGTTGGTGTTGGTGCTGATGTTGCAGCAGGAGCGGCAGGCAACCAGCCAGCCAAGCGATACCTGGCTGGGTATGACTCAAGAGAGCAATGCTAGCGCCAAGGGCCGAAGCTTTTGATACTCTTCTTCTCGTTCTCCGACCTAATTCGATCCGATCTGAGCGGGTTCGTCCTTTCGAAGCCCCTCAGACGCCGCACAGAAGGACTTCTGCAAAGGACTTGCAGCCAGAAATGTGGTTTGCCTCTCAGCCTCGTTTGCACCTGGCCAAAATAATCATACCCTTGCTTGCAGAGGGTATAACATGCGCGAGAACGAGGTACAAAAAACGGACGCCGCGACTTGTTTTTGTTGCCGTTTTGTATTCTCTTGTATTCCCTTGTTGCCAACGTCATCGTTCCATTCCACATTCCACTCCATGGCTAGACAAGCCACAGACCACCAAGATGACCACCCACCCCTGCCCCCGTCATAGCCGACAAATGCAGGAATGCGCGCTGCCTCGTCGGCCATTTTTCATTAAGAATGAGGAAGACGGGAAAGGGTGGAACCGAAAGGGGGCCGGGGATGGGGTGCAACGAGCATCAGCAGGAAAGAAGATGCTTCTGGTAGACTGGACTCTCGAGCTTTGGAATGCGGCACAACAATGTTGTCGGGCACAAAAACAGCGAAACAACTTTTGCATTCGGCAACAATAATAAAATTGTAATGAAAATCGATGACAAACAGCTTTTAACCCGCGCAACAGAGAGAGGCAGAAATAAACAATGAATGGGAGGGGGATTGCAATAGAATGATATCAAAATAATAATATAAGACAAACAATCAACAATGCAGTCTCGCCATCCCTCTCTCCCCTCCCCCCTCCCCCCACCCCTTTCCCTACTCAGAAAACTGCATTCAAAACAGGGTTGATCAAGAGGAGAGCTTTTGCCTTAGTTTACTAACGGTTTATCCTCTCTCCTCTCCTCTCCCCTACTCTCATCGACAAAGCACACAGCACAGCTTCCCCCCGCCGTCGGTAAACTCCACACCGCTGCTGGCTCTACCTCCCTCTCTCTTTCTTTCAGACGCGCTCTCGCAAACCAGAAAAACCAGTTTGCTGTAAGAAGCAGAAAACCAAACAAAAGATCCGGCGCAAAGCTTAGCAACTTTTGTTGCTAGGCAAGCTGAGATCAAAGAGGAAGAAAGGGAGAGAGAGAGAGAGAGACGAATGACAAAGAGGAAGCTGCTTCGTTGTTGTTTTTGATTACAATTGCAAATAAAATGCACACACACACACACTCACACACCGCCGCCCCCTGCCGTCGACACATGTTGCGCAACATTTGTAAGAAGGGTGCGGTAACAGGGACTGGGCAGTGGCAGAGGCAGGGGTTTAGTGATAAGCACAGACGACGACGACGACGACGACAAAGCCTTTTGCCCTATAAAATTAGCATGTGGGAGAGGAAGGAGTGGAATGGAGAGACAGAAAGGGCAGGCGGACAGACAGCGCAAAAGGGAGACCCGAAAAAAAGGACAAGTGCATTATCAATAAAAGAAATAAGAACAAAAGAAAACAGCAAAAATGCAGCAAATGGTAGCAGACACTCTACGAATAGAAGAAAGGGGGGAGAGAAACCCCTTCGCCAGGAATAATCTCCCCCCGCGTATCTTATATCAATGTCCATTCCTCCCCCAGAGAACGCGTGGGGCGGAGGTTGACGACAACGACAACGAATAAAAATGAAATGGCAAATGATGTAATATATATACAAGAATTTTATTTAAAAAGCCTATACAAAAAAATAAACAACGGCGATGGCGATAGTTCGAGAAACAGCGTCGGCACAGTGGGCACTTGCTACAAAAGTCATACAAAAATTCTCGACTGGTAAGCCCGTTTATTGTTCAAGATTCCATTTCTATTGAATTATGAATCTCTTCTGTGGCGGACATTGCCCTTTGGACAGCTTTCTGGAGTGGACACGACGACAAGGGGAGCTTGTACTGTACTATACAGCTGTACGGTGCCATAAGTCATAAAATAAAAACACACTCGAGCGCATGGGAATGTACGTTCTGGTCCTCCCTCAATTCCCCTGCCCCGCCCCTTTTTTTGTGCCTACATTGGCGTCTTGCAAATTGTTTAATAACAAATGTTGTTGCTGTTGCCATTTTCCTCTACTTCCTTGTTTATTTTCCTTTTGCTTTTGCTTCGTCTGCGATTTTTATGACACGGTTCTCCTCTCTCGCTCTCGCCCCCACTCTATATCTACACCGCAGATTGTCTGGCAGTAGAAAGCTCTCATTGTCGCTAGGGGCCTAAATTCTTTCGATTTTAGATCATTCAGCAGCCAGCAAGAAAATGATTTCATTTCATTCGTTGGAATTCTTAGAAGTACGTACAATATGTATACATGAACTCTGCCATTTCCTGTTCGCACTGTTTGGCACTTTCCCACGCGCCTCTCCAGTGACTGTCAAACTCTGTTGACATTTACATTTAAAATGGTTGCAACAACAACTACGACACATGTTTCAATTTGTTTTTTGCAAAAAGGTCAAAAGACGCCCCTCGTTGCACTAGCAACATGTGTCGGCAACATGTCGCTCTCTCAGCCGGTAGCCGGCAGCCCCAGACACTGCTGATCGAAACCGAGAAGGAAAAAAAGGAGAAAGAAGAACGAAGGTGGGAGGGGGCAGTGCATAAGCAGTGATTGCGGTTTTCCACAATTGTAGAAAGACAGACAGACAAGGATAGCAATAGCAATCGTAATCGCTTCCGCTGCTGTTGCTGCTGCTGCTGCTGCCGCTGCTCTGCTCGCAGTTTTTCCCACGCGCAACGCGACTTCTTGTCTTTCGTTTCTGGCATCGTTTGTGCACAGCTTTCTTTGGCTGCGCTCGAGTGGATTCCAAGTGCAGGTCTGGACCAGTGCTTTTCCAACTGTGTGTGTGTGTGGATCCTGCTAATGGTGTAGGATATGACTCATCAGCTCGAGTGAGCCGTTTCCTTGCCCCTCCCATTTTCCGGGACCGCCTCCCAATACCACCCCATATGACGGATGGCGCCCTCTGCCGCATTGCGACATTCATAATGTAAGCCCAAACATAAATTATGAAAATGCGTCTGGCAACATTTTTTATTTGCAACATTCTTGGGCGTGGATATGCACACACAAACACACACATACATGCATGTATACGAGATAAATGGCGCGGCAGGAAATATCTCATAAACGACCCCAAAAGGGAGGCTCGTTGGCGAGCGCCAGCAGCGACGCTAGCATAGACAAAAAAAAAATATATATATATGTATAAAAAAAACCACTAAGTGCGTGAGAGAGGGAGAGCAGAGCAAAGTGCTGGCGTGCTGGCTCTCGCGCTCTCTTCGTGGGCTTTTTGCTTGCGACCTTGAGCATAACAATTTATGGCTACACGTACATATGCGAATAAAGCCAACAACACAACGACGCAATAGAAAGAGAGAGAGAGAGAGAGAGAGAGAGATAAGACACACGCACGCACACAAAGGGGAATAAAACGCGCCTAGCAACAGCAAACGTTTTTTTTTATTCGGAATTCGGAATGGTGTGGGGTGGTGTGGTGGGGGGAGGTCTTGTGCGGCATCAATTTATGCAAAAACGGCGCCGAGGAGGGAAAAGCGAAAGTGAAAACCCGAAAAGAGGAGCCAACGGGGAAATGAAATGACAAAAGCTGGCCCAAACTCCCCCGCCCTATACCATTTTTATGAACACTTCAGGTTTCGTCTCTCCATAAAAAGCCATTTTTTGTTCGTTTCATTTCGGTTTCTACGCACTTTTTTTCGGCGCGACCTTGGTTCCGTTCATTAACATTTTTCGAAACGAATCGAAACACACACACAGGCCACACGCATAGGGCAAGGTGCGAAAAAATGCCAAAAAAAAAAAAAAAAAAAACCAAACACGCACGCTTTATCTATAGATACGATTGTGCGTATGGTATGTTGAGTGCGATGGGGCAGAGACTGTTGCCAACGGCTTCTATAACACTCACGTGACACGCCCTCCTCTTGCTGTTGCTCCAGCACTGACCACCACCCAGCTCGTCTCCAAGCTTTTATAATAATTACATTAGTATGAGAGATGCAATTTCTATGTAACTGTCCGACTTATGGGAAAGGCATGAGACGGGTCGTAGGAGTAATAGAGCTTCTTTTCCGCACAGAAACGAAAGATCAGTTTCTGAATCATATTTCACGATACAAAATGTAATTATATGTTTGTATATAAGCGTGTATAAATATGTAGAAAAGCTGTTGCCGATCAATGCCGCCTCTGCAGGCGTTTTCGCACACCACACACACGCACACACACACGTAGATGAACACAAATAGAAATTGAGAGCAGCGCCTGGTAACAGACAACACCCAAAAGTGTAAGCAAAATAGATGGGAAGATAAGCAGCAGACAGAGAGCAAAAACAACAAGAAAATAATAACAACGCTAAATGCGAAACGTGCGGTGCCTGCCCTGCAGTCCCGAGTGCTGCTGCTATTGCCTTTAGGTGTGAGTGCACTCGGCGACGACGAATGCACACAGACAGACACACACGACGCCGTCACAACAAGTGAAGATTCAGCAAGCGCAGCTTTTTCACTCTCTCTCTCTGCTTAATTTATGTGGGGGGGAGGAACTCGACTCGTCAGCGTCTGCAGTCAGCATCAGCGCAGCAGCAAAGCGCAGTCAGCGTGCTAGTTGTAGTTGTAGCGTAGCGTAAGCGTAGAGTAGCGTAAAGCGTAGAGTGGCGTGTAGTAAAATATATAATATTGACGCAAGTGTGCGCGCCAGCGAGGGTTGCTCAATGAATTTTGCGCGCCAAAGCTGGGAGCCATTGAACCCGGAGCAGCGCTGCTACTACTACACGCTGGTGAGAGGCAGAGGTGAGCGCCGTCTGCCACGTGGCATGGTCGCAGACATCCTTGAACAGTGGCCTCCCCCCAACCGAATGGGGTGTTGCGCCCGGAAAGAGCGCGAGAGAATCTCTCTTCTACGTTTTCTTTTGGGCGTAGCACTGCGCAAGACATGGTTGGGGAGACGGGGGGATGATGCTCCCAACAGAAATACAAAAAAAGTAAAGAGAGAGGATGACGCCATGACTGGCGCCGCCATTGGGAGGGCGGGTGAGAATTAAGGTTGGGGAAGGGGCGGTGGAGGAGGTGGAGGAGGAGGAGGAGGAGAAAACAGCTAAAAGCACAAGCGGAAGAAAACGGGAGGGGTTTAGCGAAAATCAATGAAAACTGCCCCAGACAGACGCTAGCTTCTCTGCCTCTGCCTCTGCCGCTGCCGCTGCCACTGCCACTGTCAGTGACGGTGCGCGCGTGGGCGTGTGTAACGCGTAACGCCTAACGGTGTCTACTATGTTTGCTGTTGACGTAGGCGTTGGCGATCGATTTTTTACTTCCAACTTGGGCGTCATCGTTCTTTCCACCCACCCACACATTCAAGCACACGCGCTTACACACACACTGACACTGACACTGACACAAACACACACACACACACACACACACAAACATTGACAGGGTAGCACACTAGTTGAATGCAAAAACCGTTAAGGCTACAGCTAGGGTAAGGGTTAGGGTAAGGGTAAGGGTATGGGTAAGGGTAGGGCTATGGGCATGGGTATGAGAGGAAGGGGTCAACACTTACCCGAATCTGATGGCGTCTCCGGGGCGTGTCTGTCGTCCAGCTCGTTGCAACGCGTATAACTGTGATCGCTGATGTGCCGCATGAGCATCGTGCTCTTGTGTATTTCGCGATAGGTCTCGTCATCAGAGTCGTAGTCAGAGCTGCTGTTGGGGGGCGACACCTTGACGGTTGTCGCATTGGCGGCCGCCTCCAACGCCTGCTGTATCGACAGCGACTGCAGCGATTGCTGTGACTGCTGCTGCGAGTCCTGGCTGAGTACGTCCATAACGTCGTTGATTTCCGGCACCGGGAATAACGAGAACAGCGTCTTGCTGGCGTTCTGCAGCTCCCGACTGATCTGGTTAATGCAGCTGACATCGCCGTCGCTGGTCAGGCAGATGTTGTTGCTACCCATGACGCAGGCTCGCAGATCGACATTGTGGCGGAACATGGGTGCCGTTTCCGGCGCACTCTCATCGGGAATGCTGTGTGGGGGCGTGTCGGGGCGAAGGTATTTGGGCGCAGGCTTGGTCTCGGCCACCGTCGGGCCCATCTTACAACGCTGGTTACCCTGAAGTAGGACGTTGCGCTTGCGGAGTAGGCTTCCGCCGGGCGGGATCAGCTGATCGGCGGCGACGTAGGCTGTGCTCTCCGACTGTGTCAGTGCCTTTCCGCTAACGCTGAGCCGAGCACGCTTCTCCACGGATGGCAGGTAGTCGTCCAGCGGCTCCTGTTTGATAATCACGGGGAGATCCTCTGCTCCAGGCTTGGTGCCGCTATTTTGTTTCTGCCTCTTCTGATGCTGCTGCTGTTGCTGCTCCTCCTGTTGGCATTGGTAGGGATTGGCCCCGCCTGTTACAATGGACAGGGGTATGGCGATGCCATCGCTGTAGCTGGAGGCGGCGCTGTTGTTGTAGCCGGCGCTGCCGTTACTGTGGCAACTGGAGGAGGCGGACCACATGCAGTCCCCGTTGCGGATCTCCGGCTTCATGTCCTCCATATCGTCAAAGTAGTCGAGGCCTTCGCGCGACTCGATCTTGGCCAGGTCGCTCTGTATGCTCGGGGCATCGCCACCGAACATATCATCTATATTGAATGGGCCATTAAACAACTCCTCGTCCATGTGAATTTGCGACAGACAGCCTTCGGGGAAGTCGAAAAACGGGAGTGCCATCTTTGCGAATTTGGCTGCACAGATGGGGATATGGAAAGGAATAAAGATTTAGGCGTTAGAAATTTCCTTTTGCTGCGGTAACTTGATCAGCAGCAACGATTAGTATTATTTATTATTGCTAATTTTTGTATTTATTTACTATTAATAATATTCATTCACAATACCAGATATTGCTTCTATATATCTGTTCAGCTGCTCACGTTTCTCTTTCTTCTCTTCTTACACAGCTGCACAATCCCTCCCACTCACACACACACATATGCACACACATGTAAGTACATTAACCAAGTAACTGTAAGTGTGAGCATCCTTTAATCCACTTCCGAAAATCTGTTCTGTTCATAAATTGTCTTTCCTTGAATGTTGAACATACAACAAAACAACAAAAATCCACAACTCTTTGCTACACTCTCCATTCTACCATTCTCCTTTTTTGCCTTTGCATAGAGTCGAATCTGATCTTGTAGGATTCCTGCGCGTTAGAGTGAGATGACAATCCTTCGTTAGTCCCCGTTACATTTTGAATCCAAAACTTCTCATGCATATGCATGCATGTGTGTGTGTGTGAAGTGCGATTAAAAAGTACAGCAACAATAGAAAATAGAGAGAACACTTGCTTGCCCTCTATCCTATGCCACCCTCTTCGCTGTTGTCTGTAATGTCTGCATTCTACACTTATAGCGGTCCTAACTTTCCGCTGTTCTGTTTCGATCATTGTTCATTCTGCACAGCTTTTTCCTTTGGTTTTCAACTCACCTTAGGGCTTTGTTTTCCAAGTGGAATCCGTTATTTCTGGAATATCTACGTGGATATAGCCAGTTCGTCAAAAATTAATTGTAATCCACTTTGTTAGAATTTCTGCAGCTTTTCTTTAACTTCTCTCTCTCTCTCTCAATCTATTTTCTTTTCTTGTGATCGTCAGGGAGAAAACACCAACCCAACAAAAAGGGACACCAAAAAAAATTTGCTCCTCCTTCTATTACGCGCGCTTTGCCGTACAGGGGTTTTCGAGAATTGTCCTCGTTCCCGGTGATTTGATTTGAATATTTGTTTGTTAAATTGTGTTTCACTGTAAAATTCACGCTTTATCTTATGTATTTGTAGTTGCTTTGTGATTTGTTCTGGTTGTTTTTGCGTTTCGGCGTTTCTGCACTACCGTCTGGCGACAATTCACAAAAAATCACGAAATTACTGAACAAACGGTACTTAAGCGCCTTCTTGGACTTTTCCGCTATTCTCCTCCTTCCTTTTCGTTCTGCTCGTGCCGGTCTCGTTTGGCGCTCGGACCGCAAACGAAAGACTTTCCTCGTCTATTGCCGGCTCCGGCAGCAATGAAAGAGGAAAACGAAACTGAAAGTTTTTGCGCGGCTTTTTCACGTATTGGAATTGGAATATTCTCCAAGACCGATTTCCGATTCGATACGGTTTGGGACTCAATATATTTTATTCAAATATATTAGCACTATTGTAATTCTGTTTGTTTTACTCGGCATTTTCTGTTGCTATTTTTTTTGTGTGTTTTGTTTCAATTGGTGGTTTGGCGCGAGCTACGGAAAACTTGGTGATTCTATTCTTAATTTTTTCTGGGCGGGAAACAGCCAAAATCCACAAAGACGAAGAGAAGAACCAAGTACGCGTCGGACGTTCCAACTCGACGGGCGTGAATTGTTTGGGGCAGCAAGGCCGTGCATTCATTCCCATAACTTCGACTCGACCGCTTGAATGTTGCTATACATGTTGCGTGTTAACTGAATGTTGCTCGCAAACCGGTCGCACTGCAAGGAACAATGGGTCAAATGGCCTATCTAGCTGACAAACACCAAGACGATCGAGAGTAAAAACGGTGTCGTCTTCGTGTTTTTTCCTACGTTTAATCAGTATTTTTTATGTTCTATATATTAGAAAAATTAATGCTTCAGATCGTTCTCCTAAGGTAGGAGTACTAGAAAAATAATAAATGATATATTATTTAGATTCATATTCTGGCCGGATTCAGATCGTAAAGCAGACTTAACATGTCTGAATTCTGAGAAAAAGGAATGTTTCAAGGCAAACAATGAAACTAGTAAAATTCACAACAAATTCATTCGTTTGACCCATTGTGACAGAGTAGGTAGGTAATCGAATTTTTCCGGCCTCTGCTTGAATGTTGCTGTACAAAATGTGCAGGGAATCTATAAGAAGGTATGTACAACGAGGTTAAACGGCCAGCAACATACAGCTGGCATGCTACAAACATCTACCTTGTTCTTCTAACATTCCATGCAGACTGTTGCCGAGCAACATTTCAATATCCCAGAGGTAAAGCCAAGAGAGGAAACGAGCAAAGCCGACAAAACCCGAGAGAGCAATCAATACTGTTGAGCTCGCTCGGAAGCCGGCTGTAGAGAGTTTAGTTCTTTGAGTGGGATTTGGACATCGCCTGCTGCGCAGTATTTCTTACGTTTTTAATGAAATACTGAAAGCTTTTGCAATTACAAACATCGCCGTAATGCCAATAGCTTCTCTCGAAAGTTCTGCCATTTCATAAGCGACTGCAATACCACTTAGGTCTCTGCTCTCTGTTTATTTACAGTCGAGTCGGCACACGCACACACTAACAAGCAATGCAAATGTGGCTGATCGACTACAATGCAATACATGAGAGAATGCAAAGTCTGCTTCTTCACCAGAGAGAGAGAGCGCCGCCGCCTCTGCCGGCGTAAATGCCGGTACATGTGCGCAGTCGACGACGCCGGCAAATGCGCTCTGCACGATACTAGCTGTAAATTCACTCGTTTTGTTTTGCTTTTGTTGATTTGAGTGAGAAATGTGAAGAAGAGGGAAACGAGTGAGTAGTGACAAACGCAAAAAGAAAGACGAGACCGAAATAAACGGTAATACAATTAGGCAAATGCACCACTAGTGTTTGTGTTTTCCTTCAACCTTTCGTTGTTCAAATGTCACCACTTACTCCTTCACTGCCACTGTCTCCCTGTCAGGCAGTGTATTGAATGCCCTCCCCTTCCTAAGAGCTGCGGGCATGTACATACATATAAACCTACCTCAAGTTAAATTAAATTATACAAAAAGAAAGGGGAACAAAAAGCGCCAAAAATCTGATGTATGATTTAAGGGGAGAGTTAATAGGATCTCATCACATACATACATGCATACATATGTACATACATACCTACAATATGTGCATATGCGGGAGTGGGCGGCAGGAAGAATCATTGCACGTCATATGTAGCTACATATATTGGATATTTGTATGTACTTAGATATGTGTGTAGAAAACAATTGCATAAACTTATCTTAGAACATGTAATGGCCCGTTGTCCACCACCGCTCTTGCCATCGCATCATCAGGTGGTTGTTGCTCAAATCGAGCAAAAGTGCACTCCTGAACGATGGAGCACACAAGCGTGTCCGCAATTCCCATTCCCCCATTCGCATTTCGCTGCGCTTTGCTTTGCTTCGCTTTGATTTACAGTTCAGCGTGGTATCGCTGCCGAACTGCCGCTCACACCCCCTCGCCCAATGCACGTTTTGGCGCGTGCATTTTGCAGGCCTTGGCCCTTCCATGTGGGCCCTTCTCTCGCACACACCGCACTCTAGCTACCCATCCCCATCCCAATCCCCTCTCGGGCACTGTTCTGTTTATATATTTAAATACATACATACATATGTACATACGTAAGTATGTATACATATGTGCTTACCTTTGTGCAACGGCTATGGGACTTCCAAGAAAGGATCAATATGATAGGTATAAGAAAGGAAATTCGTAACAATAACGTTGTTTTTGGTATTAACCCCGACTAGTACGATGAATCTGCAAGGGTATCAAATGTTCGACCACCGAACTTGGATTTTCTCCCCTGGTTTGTTTTGATTTCACAACGAAGCGGAATGGGCAAATAGGGTAAGGGGGGATGCCGGGTAATGCCGCGCATTTTGCGCTTTAGCTTTTCTGACAACTTTTTCATGTGCTTTCTCCATTGCTGTTGTTGTGGCAGTTTTTCTGCTAAACTTTTATTGCAATACGTTTTGCAATATTGTTGCCGTTCGATTTTGTTCAATCATTTTTGCGCGTGCTGGTGTAAGATGCCAGCGGGCGGAGTGGGAAGGGGGACGGCAGAGGGAGAGAGAGAGAGAGAGAGGGAATACCTACTGCGTAAATAGCGGCAACAAGTGTTGACGCCTGCAGCTCTCCGCAGCGTCGCTTGCCAAGAATTTGCTGTGCTTTCAAAACAAAACAAAAAACCCGGCAGCGACGGCGGCGCCTTGGCCTACGTAACGGGTTAACACTTACCCTCGTCCACTATTTAACAGGTTACACGTGCAGTAACATTGTACAAATCGCAAGCTGATAAGAGTCTTGCCGCTGCCGCTGCCGCTACCGCTGCCAGTGCCTCTGGCTCTGCCGCTACCGCTGCCAATGGCAGGTGTGCATACGGAACCGAGCTATGCTTTTTGGTCCCGAAACACGGTCGCACGCTGATAAGGCGGCCGCTGGAACTGTAAATTGCATTTTGCGCATCAGCCTTGGCCAGGCAACATTGTCGCTATCGTCCCACACGGGTTTTGTATTTGTATTCGCTGTACGGCATTCCCAATGTCTTTCGATCGATCGCCTTCCCTTCCAGCGAAGTCTTCCCGATGGCTTTCTTCTTAAAATCGAATCGCACAGTTACTTGAAATAGGGACAAGGTTGGCCAAAAATCCTACATTTAAGCAATGAAATATCTCTGATAGCCCCAATAGAGCACCAACTTCAGGAACAAATGATTTAAAACCGTTTTTTTTTTGTAAGATGTATTGGGGGAACAAAAATAATACGTTGTGTGCTCTATTTGTATTCCAGCTTCTTTCAGTTTTGTTCCACAATGTAAGATTGGTAGAGAGTATTCCACAATGGAATGGACATAATGGACTTAATCATAATGGCAGCCATTTAGTGCATT